AAAAAAAAAAAAAAAAAAAAAACAGTCTGTTTTCAGAGGAGCTCTTTTTGTTCTCCCACCCATGTGAAAAAGGGAAATCATTATTGTAAATCTTATCATGGACTCTTAAGACTGCAGGAATCAGTCAGATGATAAATTGACCTTAGTGACAAAAACTACTGGTAGACCTTTGAACATTAATTAGGATGAGAAAAATATGCACTGAAAAGTATGATAAAAAAACACATTTATAAGTGATAAAACTGCATCTTGGTGCTGTTATTTACTCTTTGCTTTGCTGTATTTGAATGTTAGCCGTGTTGTGCAACATCCACACACTCCGCAGACCTTCAGTCACCTCCAGCCCGCTGATTATGAACACAATGAGCGTTCAGCGCATTAGGCGCTTTTTTCCCTTTGTGACCTCGTGACCAGTGGTAGTATAGTCTGAGTTCAGCTTAATTTGTAGGATGTTAGAACTGCAGTCCAAAAGTAAAAAAATACAATAAATAACAGCCTTGTAATAAACCAAACACAGTCTCTCACACGCCGACACCGGGGATAATATTCTCTGCAAATAAGAGCATCCCGAAAACAAACTGAGAGCCGTGTTGTGCTCATTATCTGATGCATGGTCTTACCTTCGACTTCTCTCTGGACAGCTGCAGGAGAACAAAGGAAGAAAAAAACAGATAATTTTAACACGGAGAGGAGAATAATACACAAATATGTTCACTTTCTACAATTTATCTTTAGTATTATCGCTATAAAACCCTGTTCCTTGTGACCCCGCTGTCCTGCATGTTTTAACTGTTTCCCTTGCTTCGGCACACCAGATTCAAATGATTAATTTATATATTTAGAATGTCATCAAGTTTAGCAAAAGCCTGCACACTCTTAGGTAGGACTTTGAAAAAAGGTGTTGACACATTTACCACCCCCTCCACCCATCTTCAAGATTTAAAGAGGTTTACAAAATTTATGGTGGGGAAAATAAAACAACTTAAGAACAGACAAATCCAGAGAAAAGGGGCTCTGCAGCCATGAAGTGTGAATTTCTTGGGTTTGGGGGTAGTTTGGGTGACCCATGACTGGTAGGATTGACTCGTGTGGGCGTAGTAAAAGATYTGATGAATAATAGTATTTAGTTCAATTATTCTGAATGTGTAAATATAATTTACTGACTTCAAAGTTTGTGCATCTTTTTGTCTGAAGTTATGACTAAAATTTGTCATCATATTTTCAATTAGCCTTCTGAATTGTTGCACTTCCACCCAGCTGCACAGTGTTCATCCAGCTCAACTGTTATCTTCAAACCCCACCCTAAATTCCAACCCAACCGATTGGTGTGCCAAAACCACGCCCACAAGTCAATCTGACCAATAACAATTGACCCAAACCACACCCCCACGTCAATCCGACCAGCTGTAACCTCATTAACCACCTCCTATATCCAATCCTTTATAAAATTGCAGTCCAAGCTCTGCGCACGTTAGCTCCTGGATCAAAGTTTTGCCAAGACCCACGACCCGCCCCCACCCTAATTCTGATTGGCTAGTAGGCCTCTTTAGTTTATTTTGAGTGAGAGATGCATCTCATCCAGAAAAATGTCTGTTTAATCTGGGCAAACCTGAAGATTGGCAAGGTGCCCTGAGGGCGTCCTGAGGCACGGCCACGCTGCAAGAAGGCATCGGAAAACCAAACAGGACGTCCAAAAGACGGCCCTGTAGCTAAACGCCTGGAAGCCTGTCAATCACTCATTTCAGTCAGGTGTGTTAAAACTGGAAAACAGCTCAAACGTGCAGGACAGTGGGTCACAAGGAACATGGTTGAAGACCTCTGAAATAGATAAAGATACCATGGTAGGATCTATATTTTCTGTTTCTTAATAGTTTGCATTTTTAGTAGAATAATTTAGCTTTTCGTGTTTAGCTCATCACCCTATCATTCAAATTAGAAAACCTAAAAAGACGCAAAATGTCACATATGTGTCATATAGTTAAAAAAAAATGCAATCATTCTGAAGTAGAATCGACCTCAGCCTTGGATCAGTCTTTTTTGGGGCATTATTGAGGAACCCTGTGGAGCTTCCACGTCAGTCAGGTTTAATGACTAACATTCAAAAAAGGCAAAATCTGAAGTGTTTTGCAAAGAGGGGGAAAAAAGATCTGCATTTACACCCTCTGTTCTGTGCTGCAGGAGTTTAAAAGCTCACCTTCTACAGCTAAACTCTTTTGCTTGGTGTTTTGCTCGTTTTCCACGGGAAGAAAATGACATCCATTTGTGGGGCCGTTAGATGTCTCGGTGTTGAAAAGATGCAAACACCTATCACATTAGAAAGCTCTTATCTCTCGTCTTGAGGAGATGGCTGCTTTGCCGAGCGGCCTGTAAGTACCGCTGGAGCCTACTTTGTCTTGGATTGCTGTTAAGTGGGCTTTATTGATTATCCCCCGGAGCTCAATGAGAGCGTGGACTTTATGTTTAGAACAGGGATATTAATAACACATTTGAACAATTTGTGAGCGTCTGCTGATAACAGGGCCTTGTGCAGAACGATGGCATTAAAAAGGGAAGTCATTCAGCATAAATGTGATGTTTCTGTTTGAGACAATAGAGATGATTCTGATGAGGATTATTACTGTAGGTCTTCTACATGCGTTACAAAACATGGTGAGAATTTCAGATGTTTTTATTTTCAAACAGAAGCTTTAGTTTAATAACTTGACCATGTCAGACCCTGCTGACCCCTCGTGTGGAGTCCCGCAAGGTTCCCTATTTGGAGCCAGTCCTGTTCTTGCCGTTTTAATTATCTCTGATGAATTCTGGGTGGGCACAGCTTATCAAAGWCRTYGCTCATAATCCACAAACTAAAAATATACCTGGAATGACACAAACCTGCTGATGTTAGTTTGTTAGTTAGTTAGCTGTTAACAGACTTTAAGTTAGCAAGATCTATTTCAGCCTTATTGGTCCGCTAACGATTTTAAAAGTTAGTAAAAAATAATTGTTCATCAAAAAATAGTTGCAGTATTAGCTGTTAGCTTATGCACCACTGCTAATGGGGATGGGAAGTAATCGTTGAATATGAAGAGTAGTAGCTAATTTGAAGATTTAACGCAACCATCTATTTTTATTTTATTTTTTTTTACTTTTTACACCAGCACCTGGTTGTTCTCTACAAATTATTTCCTCTTTTCTTTTCTGTTCTGTAACAAAACATCTGCTACCCCTCCCGCTAAAAAAGAAAGAAACATCAGGAGCCTCCCAGCATGTGCTGTTGCAGTTTAATCTGAAGTGTGGTAAGGATAAGCAGTGTGAAAATYGTTAAGACTTTTTTTGGAATCTGGATGTCTGTCATATTCAAAAATATGCTTATTTGCAAAGACTTGTCTCTGTGTGTATGTGTGTGTCTGTGTGTAAGTGTGTGTGTGTGTCTGACGTCAAGAGGATGTGTGAAAAAGCTTAAATTTAGACGTTAATAACCCAGAAACAGGAGAACTGGATTGCAAAAATATCTGAACTCTGTGCAACGTTCACAATAAACCTGAGATCTTTGTTTTATTAGGAATTACAGTATTTTCAGTCTTAAAAATTAATGTATGGTATTATTAAGCACTCATGCTAGATGATGAACATTTACTTATGATTGACTTCAATTTGTGTTTTTTTTTCTTGTGTTTCATAACAAARGGGATCAAATATAAATTCAGCTTCAGTTGTTTTGCCTGAATTGTTTGGTTAGGTTTTGTCTTTCCTTTTAAAGCTTTAAAAATATTTTTTAAATGGAAAACTCACATTATTTACTACATTCACTTCACTGACTGTAGTCCAGCATTTTAGTATATTTATGTWTATTACAGCAAAATGCATCTGTCCTTGCTCATACAAAAAAGATGGACTTTATATCTTTAGAAAAACACAGGCAGAAAGGTTTTTCCTCACCTTCCTGGCAGTACTTTCCTCTGTAGTTGGTGTTGATGCAGTCACAGAGCACCTCTCCTTGGTTGACAGAGCAAAGGCCTTTGTTGCTGCAGGGCGAGTGTGTGTCACATATGTACTCCAAATCACTATGCACGGCTTGACCGTCCAGAAGGATTGGCAGTGCCTCCCTCACTTTCAGATTGGTGATGAAACCCTGGAACGGGGGTTCGTATTTCACCGTGCTGGAGGTCAAAGCAGAGAGACGCACGTCTGGAGAGATCCCGCCGACATAGAGGTCGCTGGCGACAACCATCTCTTTCCTTTTGGATTTCACCTCTGCCGCCTTCTCCTCGTTGTCTACCACCAGCTTGGTCTCTTTGTAGTTGCGCGTCAGGAGGACTCGGTGCCAGCGCAGGTCGTTGACAGGCGTCTCRGTGTGGAGAACCGCCGGCTCGGCGCAGTGGATGGTGAAGCGCATCTGCAGCCTCCCGTCTGCAACCAGCAGCTCCAAYAAGTCGCAGTTCCCTCCGTCATCCAGGTAGAGCACCAGGGCTTTGCTGATGTTGGTTTTGAGAATYAAGCTGAGCTCACCTGTCGTCTGCGCGTCCCACTGGCCATAGCGTGTCCACTGACCGGGAACCCCCTCATACTCCAGAGCTGTCCCCATTAGCACRAAACCCGCTACAAGCAAAAACCAAGAAACCTCGCCTTTACAGCTGCCCATCATGTTTACTAGTTGCTATCTACAAAAGGCTCCTGCGTGGTCTCCAAATATTTCAGGAAGTGTTTTTTTACTGTCTATAATTATTTCTTTTTATCACTGTGAAATATGCAGGGAAAAAAAAGACTCCAACTCCTACGTGCAGCACAGMAGTTTGTTTAGTCTTGGCTGCCTATGTGGATTTCTGCCCCCCATCTCTGAGCAATTGGAGCACATCGCTGAACGCTTTGCATCTTCTCCGGATCTGAGGACGAGAACAAACAATTCGACTGATCCACAATGCTGTGCGCTTCCTCGTCTTCGCCATCCAGTGTCTTGGCCTCCATCCAGCACTGTTCTTGTCAGTCCTCCATGGGTTAGCTAGGCACACAGCCTAGGTACAGCCTCCACTCTCCTCAGCATCCCAATATCCTAAGACATGAAAGAAGAATGTGRAATGAATAGCTGGAAGCATTATGAACCACTGATTGCACAAAAAAGAAAAAGGTAATTATGAGGTACCATGACAAATGAATTACAAAATCTAACAAATCATTAAGGWGGGGAAGCAGAAGATGGGTGACTGATTCAAAAGTCTGCATAAGGAGAAACATTAAATTTTGACAGGATGGTTTTAAACAGAACCTCAAATAGTTGTAACATTAGACAACATTTGATAAATATTATTTCACCTGTAAAAAACATACTGTAAACATACCATAGGCTCTTTAGTTTTACAAAAATAAAAAATAAATAATAAATAACAATAATAAAAAATTTGAGAAAATCATATCGTAACACAGACGCTGCCGTGTTATGTACATGACAAAGAATTGTGGGTAAATGATGTTTACTGGCTGCTCCGGCGCATGAATGTGAATTTTGGACAATGTCTGACATTCAGCTCTTTTAAATGAAACCGAGGCGCATTGACAGAGAGGAGAATGTATAAATGACTTAGCCTGCAACTGAAAATAATGGTGGAGGACAGCAGAGCTGCTTAATGAAGGAACACCTCAGCTTTAGCCTTTTAGCTTTACTGTTAGCTACAGGGAAAAACATATTTGGCTATATATGGCATTAGCTTCTGAACTAATATTATTAGCAATATATAGTTAGAAATTACCTCAGCTTTAGTCTTTTAGCTTTTGAGTTAGCGCTCAAGCTATACAGTGGGTAAAATAAGTATTGAACACGTCACCATTTTTCTCAGTAAATATATTACTAGAGGCGCTAATGACATGGAATTTTCATCAGATGTCGGTAACACCAAATGATCCATACATACAAAGAAATCAAATCATAAATGTCCAGAAATTGAGTTATTTGTAATAATGTGGAATGGCACAGGGAAAAAGTATTGAACACATGAAGAAAGGGAGGTGTAAAAAGGCATGGAAAGKCAAGACACCAGCTGAACTCTCTCAGTAATTAGAAAYCAAGCCTGKCCCTTGTCAGTGCAAGTTAATATCAGCTGGTTCAGTCCCAAATGATGGCCAGGTATCACACAAGATCCATCTGATGATGGGTAAAAGTAAAGAGCTCTCTCAAGACCTTCACAACCTTATTGTTGCAAAGCATAATGATGGCATCGGTTACAGAAGAATGTCTAAACTTCTGAAGGTTCCAGTGAGCACTGTTGGGGCCACAATTCAGAAGTGGAAAGAACATTATTTCACCATAAACTGACCACGACCAGGTGCTCCTCACAAGATTTCTGACAGAGGAGTGAAAATAATTATCAGAAGAATTGTCCAAGAGCCAAGGACCACTTGTGGAGAGCTTCAGGAAGACCTGGAATTAGCAGGTACGTTTGTTTCAAAGAAAACAATAAGTAATGCACTGAACCACCATGGCCTGTATGCACGCTCACCACGCAAGACTCCACTGCTGAAGAAACAGCATGTTGAAGCTCCTTTAAAGTTTGCTGCACAACATTTAYACAAGCCTGTGTAATACTGGGAGAATATAGTCTGGTCAGATGAGACCAACATTGAACTGTTTGGATGCCAGAATACACATCATGTTTGGAGGTCAAATGGCACTGCACATCAGCCCAAAAACACCATACCAACAGTGAAGTTTGGAGGTGGGAACATCATGGTGTGGGGCTGTTTTTCAGCATATGGTACTGGCAAACTTCAAATAATTGAAGGAAGGATGAGTGGAAAAATGTACAGAGACATTCTTGATAAAATCTGCTTCCATCTACCAGGATGATGAAGATGAAACYTGGCTGGACATTTCAGCAAGACAATGAGCCCAAACACAAAGCCAAGGAAACTCTCAGTTGGTTTCAGAGAAAGAAACTAAAGCTGCTGGAATGGCCCAGCCAATCACCTGACCTGAATCCAACAGAAAATTTATGGAAAGAACTAAAGATCAGAGTTCATAGAAGAGGTCCAGGAAACCTTCAAGATTTGAAGACTGTTTGTGTGGAAGAATGGGCCAAAATCACACCTGAGCAATGCATGCCACTTTCTCCATACAGGAGGTGTCTTGAAGCTGTCATTGACAACAAAGGCTTTTGTACAAAGTATTAAATAAATTTCAGTAAGTGTGTTCAATACTTTTTCCCTGTGCCATTCCACATTATTACAAATAACTTCATTTCTGGACATTTARGGTTTGATTTKTTTGTYTGTATGGATCACTTGGGTTGTTACCAYCATCTGGTGAAAKTTTCATGTCWTTAGCACCTCTAGTAATATATTTACTGAGAAAAATGGTGACGTGTTCAATTCTTATTTTACCCGCTGTATGGCGTTAGCTTCTGAACTAATATTATTAGCAATATACAGTATAGTTAGAAATCACCTCAGCTTTAGTCTTTTAGCTTTTGTGTTAGCGCTTAAGCTATTTATGCAAATGAATGGCGATACATGGCCTTATCTCTACAGCTAATGCCAAATATTTGTAATACGATTAGAGCTCACTAGAGCTTTAGCCTTTTAGTTTTCCCACAATGTTAACTCAGGAGCTAACACCACATAATTGTAATATATATATATAGTCACTGTGCAAGGGGCAGGGTACARCCTGGACAGGTCACATGTTAGGGTGACCTGTCTTTAGCTCCAGAGCTAATTTACTAACCGTCATCCTTGAGCATTTCAACCCATAAACTGTACAGAACATGTAAATCAATATAAAATATGTTATTGTCATACATTAAAGCTTTTTAGCCTTTACTCAGTGTTTTAGTTTCAAGTGTAACCCATCAATATATGACAGTAGTCACAGAGCCCTTTAAGATTTTTGCATCAGGCACTTTTTGTTTGTCTTTGGACAAATACTGCAGTATCTAAATCCTGGCAGAACACCTTATCCCATAACACCCAGGCACAAAAAAAGAGGGAAACTATCTCACTGATTTCCAAGAAGATGGTGGGAAAGTCCTGTTTTATAATCACCCACAGAGATTTTTTTTGGCTCACCACATGACTTCGCTAATGTCAGCGATGTCAAGCCCCTGAAGGTTTCCAGCCTCAAACTGAAAAAGCTACAGCTGAGCAACAAATGCAGGCAGGAAGTTGGTTGTTAAGGAACGGATGAGGCCTGCGTTAGAAGCAAACYAGAAAGTTAAAAAGTGCAAATAGTTTGTGACAGCCGGAGAGGGGCATGCCTTGCAGGCTTGGGGATAACAGAAAAGTGACGCAKCAGTTTCAGAGAGAACTGAGACCCCGCGCTGACTACTTAAACAATAAGGGCAGCATTTTATTTATGTTATATTTCTCAGTGGTGAACAAAGCAATCCATGTGTGCATAGCTTGACTCTGTAACTGCTGTAAACACATGAAGGAGCAAACTTATCCTGTGGTAAATTAATGGATCAAACCAGAAATCAGCACTCACAAGCTATAAAAATAAATTTGTGCAAAATTCTGTGATGGCTCTGTGATCGACTTGCAACCTGTCCAGGGTGTACCCCGCCACTCYCACAGTGACCCCCGTGACCCTGAAAGGAAGAAGCGGATAAGGAWAATGGATGGATGGATTGTGCTAAATTCTGGTAAACCTGTTCCTCACAAATCCAGATACTGTAACTTCAAAAGGATTTGACTCATGAAGCTGCTCGTGGTTCCAAAATTGAAAAGCTTGGAGCTTTTTGAAGTGAGCTCATGTGGAAAGGCTGAGATCAATTATTATCTTACCTGGTGTGCATAACTCTTTAATTGGATTCAGTTTGGGAAATAAAAATCTTTGATTCTGATCAAATAAAGAGGCTGAAACAGTGAAGACTAAAGTGAATCGACGCTGTGGTGAGAAAACTTAATAGACTTCATAAGCAATGAATCTGTGCAGGACTGTCTCGCATTTTTCCCTCCTGTCCCAGAGACCCACAAAGGGAAACAATGTGCCGCACTAAACTGGGTCAAATTATCAAAAGATMTCCTTTCATTGTTGCTGTTTCTCAACAGGCACTTTTCTGAAACTTTATTTATCCAGTGGCTGTCATCAGAGCTGTGTCAGCTGTCAATCAAAATGCACGGCAGCGTGATCTGGTCACCCTATGTAAMGCATATTAGCAGCAGCAGCCAATGTGGCACTTCTGCTGAAGGAATAGAATGACACGGCTGTGAAAATAACTGCTCAGGTCATTTTTAAATGATAAAGTTTCAAAGTAATGTTCTGTCATATAGTTTGTCTCTCATCACCTGTGACATCAGTCATAGAGCATGGGGAAAGAGACAKAAGTCTTCATCTGAGCTCGACTAATAGTTAGCCAAACAGGAAAGATAAACAATAAGTCTTTGTTTGGGTAGGTGGATGAAAACTTTTGCCTCTTTCTCCATGCTCTATGACTGATGTCAAGGAACTAACTTTTGATACATATTCAACAGAAGATCCATCCATCTCCTTTACTTGCTCCTCCTTTCCAGTACACAGGGAACTGGTCCCTGTCTCCAGCAGGGACTCTGTGAGAGGTGGGGGGACACCCTGGACAGGTTTTAAGCCCTTCACAGGGACACAGAGACAAAAGAAAACTATTCACACTCCTAGAAGGTTCGATAATACAGCTACGTAGAGTGCGTCTTGGTTGCAGTGACATGAGTGGCCAAAAAATTCGACCTTCGAAGGACGCAGCCCCTAAATTTAGACACAGTGGATGGGATAGGCAAGGCTCCCTCAAATTATATTGAACCCAACGTCACACTCTCACCAGGGGACAATTTAGAGACACTAAATAAACTCATGTGCATGTTTCTGGTCTGTAGCAGGAAACCAGAGTACCCACACATTGCACAGAGAGAACACGCAATCCTGTGACCTTCCCATCTCTCAGCTCTCACCACTGCTCCATCGTACTTGCTGGCAGAACATAGCCTTAGAAGTYTGCAAACTATCTCTTTAAGATGGCTCAGGCTAGCCTTCAGCTCGCCAATCCAGTCAAAATAAGTTCCATTTGTCCAAACTAAGGTTACTCAAAG